GCAGTAGCAGTAGCAGTAGCAGTAACAGCAGTAGTAGTAGTAGTAGTAGTAGTAGTAGTGGTCGTAGTGGTGGTAGTGGTGGTAGTAGTAGTAGTAGCAGCAGCAGCAGCAGCAGCAGTAGCAGTAGCAGTAGGCGGTAGCAGCAGCAGCAGCAGACGCCGCCGCCGTCGTCGTCGTCGTCGACACTACTGCTACTACTACTACCACTAGTACTACTTCTTGGTCCGGGGGAAAACAGCCGAGGTTCCGAGACATAGTCGGCAAAGCGGGCTCGAGGCCCAAGTGGGCCTCCTTCAACGCGCAGTCGCTTCCCGCCAAAGCCGAAACGGTGCAGCTCATGACCATGTGCGAACCCAACGAGACGAGGTGGTGGCGTACGGCATTACTGATGCCCGGCATGCTGGTCAAGAAAAAGGGCGTGGCGGAGCTCTTCATGGTCGCGGGTTCCTTCCCTCATCGAGCTGCTGCATTGCTGTGGCCGTTGAAAAAGTTGACCAACAAGGTCTTGGTGCCCGAGTCGATCACCCGCAAGAGTCAGTTGACTTGGGCTTCTGTGCTCAATGTGCTGGACTGGCAAGCGGTGGAGCACGAAATCATGAGTCCACTGCACCTCTTTCTTACAGACAAAAGCCTCAGATCCAGAGCGGATCTGCAAGGCCAGGTGCTCATCAAGCAGAATGGAACCGTGCCCCTTTTGACGTATCTGGCGAGCAAAGGCTTCGCCGGTCTGCCGCTCCGGTTGGTGAAGCGCATCCGCAAGGCTCAGTGTTTCAAACAAATAATTAACCGTTCTGGGGAAACAGTTAAACTGGGGTCCTACAAATCCGGAGTGTTTATTTTGAAGCACCCACTGTCCTGTCATTTGGGTATTAAGTTCCGTTTCCGAAATTGGAAGTCAGGACAGTCCCTCCCGGATTTCGGGTCCCCTTAATTAATGGTTTGCAGTCGTCTGGAAGTTTAATTCATAGTGAAAAGAAGCATGGGTCTATCTGGTTTAACCTCTTGGAGTGTCGGCTTCCCATCATCAAAAGTAAAGCTCAGTTACATGTCGGAGTTGGCCAAACCCAAAACTTGCAAGATTAGTACTGTTGCGCATCCTAGCGGGTTCACGTCATGATCGTTTTTTCTTTCGAATTTCAGTGTGGTGTGTTTGTGGGCGTGTCCTTGGATTGGAACCAGTCTGACAGCTGATTGGCCGGAAAAACCGCAGCACTAACAGCGGGAGCCAGGAAACGCAAATGGAAAGCTCATCCTAAACCCATAGCAAAGGGAAACGCAAGAGACGTCAAGCATGGCAAGTAGAGATTTCGAGTATAGTAATGGCATATTCGCGTAAGAGAAGCAAGCAACCTTCATTCAGAGTTGTGATAGAGTGAGTGAGTCGTCAATTCTTTCGCATGGGAACTGGTACTGTACTAGACATTTACAAGCACATTCTCATTCTATGATGAGCGAGAACGGAACAGTCGCCCTTGAATGCTTTGCTGTTCAGCTCAACATAACTCAGTCACTCGCAAGAGGAGCTCCTTGGCCATTCAGTCGAACCCGACGGAGGAGAGGGGGATGCGGATGAAGAGGCAGGAGCAGCTGCCGATTCAGCTGAAGAGCTTTGCGAGAATGTGTGGGCCGCCGTGACGGGGGCATTGGAGTGCACTGATGCTCGTGCGGCCGAGATTCTGGAAAAGTCGATTGCACTCCGCGGTCCCGACAACAAGTACTTTGATCTCTTGAAGTCCGAGGAGATCCAGGATGCCTTCAAAGAGGACGACTACAAGGACTTGGTGAAGTACTTGGAGAATGTTGAAAGTCGCGACAAGGTTGGGGGGTAACATGCAGGGGTTTCCATTGCACAAATACCCTTTGAAGTCATGAAGGGTGGCGAGCTGAGGCCGTTATAGGGGTTCAGCGTTCAGGCTTCGGGTTTAAAGGTATTGGGATTCAAGTAAGT